ACCCGACTCGCTCATTCATACCTCATGTCACACTTCTCAAACCCACCTCTGTGCCCTACATGTAATGTCCCTCTTTCTCTCCCACATATCCTCCTATCTTGCCCTCGCTTTACTCAAGCCCGTACCTTTACTTTCCCTCATATATTTTTTCTTCCCCGACCCCCCAATCTGTTGAGACATCCTTACAGAATCTCCCACCTTTTCTTTTGACAACCCGTTCTCCTTCCTTAGACGCATAAATATCCTACATTTGGTCTAACCACCCTTTGTCCTTAACCCTTCCCCTATTTATCATTAACTATCCTATCCCATTTATCCCCTCTTTCTACTCTTTTTCACTACCATACTATCTTATAACATGCCCGTTGCAATATAAGACATTTTGATTCTAACCAAGAACAAAAAAAAAATTCCACTACAATACAGTGTCATAGTGCTATATGACCTTTGATGCCTAGCATATTCATTTTCTGATGTCATTATTACTTATTACTGTATTAATTATTTTTTCAAGTGGTACACAGTATTTTGGAATACAATATCCTAGATGGCTTTTGATATCTTTTGGTGGGTCATGCAGTGTTATAAACACCCAATATAAGTACGAATATGCTTGAATATAACTGAGGTAGAAGGAATGTATCCTTTGTAATTCCCCCTGCAGGTCCTTACGTCTTCTCCCATTATCCTTTCCGTTCTCTCCTGGATATTCACGTAACTCCCTTCTGGCACAACAGTGTCCTCCGAATCCTTCCCCTTCTCCCAGTCTGCCTGATACTTCACCTCATTCCCCATGTTCCCTTGTCTCATTCTCAGGGTTCTCTTACTTCTCCATCACCTATTTTTACCTTATTACCCGTCGGTGGCTTCATAATGGCTATTTTGCACTGTTACTGTATGTGTGTGTGTGTGTGTGTGTGTGTGTGTGTGTGTGTGTGTGTGTGTGTGTGTGTGTGTGTGTGTGTGTGTGGTGTGTGTGAGTGTGTGAGTGAGTGTGTGAGTGTGTGAGTGTGTGTGTGTGTGTGTGTGTGTGTGTGTGTGTGTGTGTGTGTGTGTGTGTGGTGTGTGTGTGTGTGTGTGTGTGTGTGTGTGTGTGTGTGTGTGTGTGTGTGTGTGTGTGTGTGTGTGTGTGTGTGTGTGTTCTAAAATTTCTCTCGCTCCGATAAAACAAGAAGGGAATTAGTTCTAAAGCCAAAAATCGCGGAATATTGTTTCGAATCACATGGGCAACGGTCATCGAGCGAAATTCCTATGTATCACTGCGTTTTTTCCCGTAATACGAGGACTGCAGGGTCATTTGTCGCGCAGATGATATGCTTTAGGAAAGATATTGCTTCTTTATTGCCCGCACTTGATGCAGTAATATATATATATATATATATATATATATATATATATATATATACATATATATACATATATATATATATTATATAATATATATTTTTTTTTCTTCTTTCTTTTTTCTTTTCTTTTTAAGGATCGGGAGTGTCACCTCATGCTACTTGGACCTCTATAAATCATAATTTTTCAAATAGTTCACGAAGGACTGTAGGGATTTTGATTTTCATATTTTCACCGCGGCTCTAACTGCGTTTACGGATAATTAGAAAATCTGTATCTATTACTTGTGGCATATCTGAAGACATCACAGTTTGACGAGCTTTTCATTTACTTAACTTGTTATGTTAGCATGGATTAATGTCCCCAAGAGCTTTAGAAATAAATGTCAAAATCGAAAAATAATTCATGAAGCAATAATTTCTGGTGACTGTAAAAAGAATGTACAAATCTTCTGCTCTGATCTAAGTGGATTTTGAAACACACACACACACACAAACACACACACACACACACACACACACACACACACACACACACACACACACACACACACACACAAACAAAACACATACACAAACACACATTCAAACACACATACAGACACACACAATTGTGTATACACAAAACGTTTAAAATTGGGATTTGTACAACGTAAAGGAAATTAGAATAAGGGACAAATTTCGAAATGCGAAAACATGTGTCCAAAAAGCCTGGATTCGGGGATAAGGTGAAATAAATACGGAGAGAAAGCTAAGGAATCGGGTAACTGTAAAAATCAGGATTAGATTTACGACTAAAGAATTGAAGTTAACATATAGGATATTAGAACAGTTGAATGAAAGAAATAATGAATGGTGAATTGGAGGTTAGACGCGTAAACATAGACAACCAAGGGTGAAGAAAAGAATTAACGAAATGTAAAATAAAACCGATTAAAATGTAAAGTGAAGAAATTAACAATAAACTGAAAAGATGAATGAAGAATAAAAACAAAGATGGAATACGACATGCCAGTGGATGAATAAAGGAAAATACAAGACAGGTAATAAATTAATATGGGAAGGAAGTTCAATAAGGAAAGGCGGCTTTACGAGAGTGACTGAGAAAGGAGAAAGACAATACAATTACAATGGAATGAAAAAGAAATAAAGGGAATAAACAGAGAATAAAGGTACGTGACAGGAAGTAAAGATAATGCGAGAGAGCACAATCCGCGGGAAATATAATGTGATATATATAGAAACAAACTAGACAGCAAACCGAGAGATAAGAACGACGTAATGCAATAAATAGAAAGGAAAATAGTAAAGAAGCCCGTGTTACGAGTCTGAAGCCAGAAAAATAACAGGTAATTATTAGCTAGGCAGAATGAAAAAGCAAGACAGCGCAAGATTCCCTTCGCCTTGAATGCGAGTTTTTGTCTCTACTTCATCGTCAGACATATCCGCAAACCAAAACATACCATCACAACAAAATGCCTCAGTAATAAATCTGGCACCTAAAGAAAGCCCAGTAACAGTAATGTGCGATAATAATAGTTAATTAACAATATCAGAAAGGCATGATAGGACCCCTTTTGCTTTAAATGTGTACATACGCCGTTGTATTACAAATGAAATAATCAGTAAACATATGCCGGGTACCGAATAACCAAATTGCAAAATCCATGAACTCAAAATAAGGTCTCTGGGAAATAATGGCCGATAAAAACCGAGAATGAATAACAAAAAGGCAGCATAGGACCCCTTCGCCTTTGCTTCGCCTTGAATGCAGACCTGTCTTTTCCTTGTAATGAAAACCCCGCACACAAAAAACAAGCATCAAATAACCAAATTGCAAAATCAAGGACGCAACATCTTCCAAGCCAAGGTAATAATAATTATAGCAGCAAGACAGTGTATGACCCTTTCACCTGGAATGTGGGCTTCCGATTGTAATATATAGCCAAAGAAAGTCCCGCAAACAAGAGCCAGGCATCAGATACTCCCATTCTTGTGGCCAAAGAGGCGAAAAAAGGCCCCTGTCTCGGGAACCATTTCGCGGGACCCCCTCGCCCCGAATGCTCGCCTCCGCCGCCGCCGCCAGATGGCAGCAGCGCCGCCTTCCTCCCTCGGCCTAGCGTGGCGAACAAGAAACGGTACGTACTTTTCACCCTTTTTATCACCCTTGTACCCACTTTGCAAACCTGTCGGACGTCGTAGGGGTGTTATAGGGTTGCTTGAGGTGGGTGAGATGGATTTTGTCAGGAGTGAAGCTGGGAAAGGCCTGGGAAATCGAAGATTTGTTTGGGGTTGCAGGTTTTTTTCTTCCTGATGGCAAGTGTGTCCACAACCTTCACTCGCGAGAGATAGTTTATTTACAAGTTTATTTACTTCTCCGGGAAGGTGAAGGATCCTTCGAAGGATATGCAGATGGAAGTAGGATGACTGAGGCTTTCTGAGGTTTAGTTACATTTTTTCCGAGTTAAAATGGCCGTTTTGAAGGTCTTTTCGCAGTGTAAGCAAGCAGCATGGAATTCCTTGTGGCTTCTTTATTTTCTTGAATTTATTTTTCTCTATCGGGAATTCTATTTTGTTTCTGGCATATCACGATCGAAGATGAGAGATAGGTTACATAGTTTTGCTATGTATACATTCCTATAAATAGCTTCCACCTTTGAGTGTGTGTCTTTACTTTCAAATATTAGCAGTTTGTATATAGACAAGTAGGGGAAAATACAATGTCTAGTTACTTTTAACTGTGAGATACATTAGAAATTAGTGTAAATTTGGGGTATTTGTTACTGAAAACAACGCACCCTCTTTAGAAGTCCCAAAACCAGGGTCTCTGGCAAACCCAAAAACCTAAACATAACCTTTCCCTTCTACTATTCATTCCTAAAGTAGGGGTACAAGTCCCCCTGTACCTTCCTCTTTATTAGCACTTTTTGCCAACTTACAGAAAATGTGACCTTAAAACTTTGGCTGTTTGAAGGTGTTTTGAAATTAAAGCGTTTTAAGCACTTGGGCAAGAATTCTTGGCAATAGGCGAAGAACTGTACCGTTCCCTGCCTAAAACGTATGGATCAGCAGGCAAGACTTGTTCAGTGATGCCAAACATATGGAAATGTTTTTCTATGAAGTACAAATCATAACCACCCTTGGAGAGCTTAGAAATATCAAAATAACACAAATGTACATACTTGGGTTTTAAAAGTAATAGACAAGTATTCCCACCAAGGGTGGAGTTTATTTCATTAGCAGTTGGCAACAGTTTAAGCATGTGTTTCAAAACGACTAACAAGCTAGTGCCGCATCTAGATGCAGAGAAGTAAATGTCTTTACAAAATAATATTTTCTCCTATATACAAATACAGTGCCTCTAAAATGGTGACATGCACTTCTGATTGGCAACCCTTACACTCTGATGCGCTATAAA